AAGCTCTTTCCTTACGTTCCCTTTTCCTTCCTACCCTTGCTCATCTCCAGGGCCCAACTTCAATATCATTTCTTTGGACAGGACTTCTTGGAATCTCTAGCAGTAGACATTGTCACAGTACCTATGGCTTATCAGAATTTTAATTTTATGTTTGTTTAATACTGCCTGTGTGGTTTCTGAAGGTGGTGACCTTGTGATAGCCACAGATCTTGCTTGCACTGGGCAAATATCTGATGAATGTGACTTATTCTACCTTGTCTTACATCTGTGCAGCTGTGTTAGCTGGAATGTTAAATTAGTGGCAAAATCCATGACACACTTGGAATCTGTTGGTGGTCTTGCCTGGGCAAGAGCCCACTGGTTCATCTTGGGGTTACAGGAGAGAATAAAATTCTTTTGGGAACCTACAATATTGAACACATCTATACAGTCTCATTTTGATTCTTACAACAGTATCTTGTGGGTTCAGTATATTATCCTTGTTGTGCAGATTAGAAAACTGATGCAGGAAAGATAAAGCGACTTCCTTTACCTCACATGGCTCCGAATACCCACAGAAGTCTCACTGACTCTCAGATCTCAGATATAATTGGAATTGTGGGAAAGGACAGTGGTATACTCATATTTTTATTTTTATTTGCACTGTGACATTTTGAATAGGCCAAGGTCAAAAAGCAAAATAAACACAAAAGTGAAGTCCAGTAGATTTCATGCTGCTAGTTGGAACAGAACAACAGATCTGAAAGCCCCAGAATGGGGGCCGTATAGCTACATCTTTTTATTATCTATTGTAGGTTTTCCTAGACATTAAAATAAAGTCTGAAACGAAGTTGAGTAGTCCTGCCTGAAGCATGAAGGAATAGAGTCTAATTTGTTTTCTATCTTTCCATGGGATTTCTGTGTATTGAAAGATGCCGGCATAAAATCAAAGAGGATAAACCACCCTATTTCCTGGTTTCTCCAGTTGCAATGTCATACAAGCTAGTCTGCTTCCTTTTTCAGTTTTATTTCACATACCATGAGTAAGTAAGGCCTTAAAGGGGTAGAATATTTGAGGGGGCTGTGAGGGGAGTCAATGATGGGACCAGCTGGTTTCTTGGTGTCTTCAAATTATTTGTGAGGCTGAGCCTTTGGCTCGTTGGAGTGATTCCTGCTAACGTTAACAGTTTAGAATTGTTCCTTTCTATGGTATTTTAACGTCTGTGTATGTTACCTCTCCCCAGCCCCTCAAGCATGCTCTCTACATGTGATGCCTAATGCTAGGATAATATAAAGGGGATCATGGAGGACATATGAATTGATAGGGAAGAGGGGGGACATGACACTCCAGCATTGGGATTGGTGAGACCTAAGTCCTGGGAGCCCAGGCAAAGGGACGCACTGTACAAGCAGGCATATTGAAGCTGGGCATAGTATGATTAAATTTGCAGAAAACGCAGAGGGACAAAAAATATATATATTATAAAGTTGTTGAACAAAATGGAAAAAGTAAAAAGAATACTCAAAAAATACTCAAAATTTCTCAGTATTTGAGAATACTCAAAAAGAATACTCAAAATGGAAAAAGTAAAAAGAATACTCAAAAAAGCTTGAGATGTGGCTGGGAGCAGGGGTTCATGCCTGTCATTGTAGCTTTCTGGGAGACTGAGGTGGGTGGATCTCTGGAGCTCAGGGGTTCAAGACCAGCCTGAGGAAGAGTGAGACTCCATCTCTTCTAAAAATGGAAAAAATTACCTGAGTGTGATGGTACATATCTGTAGTCCCAGCTACTCAGGAGGCTAAGGCAACAGGATTGCTTGAGCCGAAGAGTTTGAGGTTACTGTGAGCTATGTTGCTATGGCACTCTGGGACTCCCTCTACTCAAGGGAACAGAGTGAGACTCTGCTCAAAAACAAACAAACAAACAAACAACAACAACAAAAAAGGAATCATTTCATCTGAAGAACAAAAAGTCCATGGGATAAGATAGCAAATGATTCTGAAGGTAATGAATTCACCTCATTTCCTATACAGGTAGGTAACCCTGGCTCCAAATAGCTGGAGAGAGGATGGGTGAATGGCAAAGGGAGAGACGAGGTTTCTGTTCTCATTGAGCCACATTCTGCTGTAAAGAAGCACAGCATACTGTGACCACTGCAGGGATAGAAGGAATTCTGGTTGACCCAGGAAGCAAAGGGTAAACACCCGACTAGCCGAGATTCCAGGGAAACGTCTAGACAGAATGGAAATCTGAAGTATAGTACCTGTGGTGATTAGGTTTGTATTGGCTAGGCTGTAGTATTTATTTATTTATTTGTTTATTTATAGAGACAGGGTCTTGCTCAAGCCACCCAGGCTGGAGGGCAGTGACATGAGCATGGTTTACTTTAACCTCTAACTCCTGGGCCCAAGTGATCCTCTCGACTCAGCCTCCTGAGTAGCAGGGACTACAGGTGCTACCAGGCCTGGCCACCCAGTTATTTATTCAAACATTAATCTAGAATTGAAGGGTTGCTAAAGGTATTCTGTAGATGTGTTAATATGTATAATCAGTTGATGTGCCTTATCTGAGAGAGAGAGAAAGAGAGAGAGAGAGAGAGAGATACATATATTGATTTCCTGGAAAAGAAGACCTTCTGCCTCAAGAACTCAGCACCAAGAACCAGCCCTTACTGAGTTTCCAGCCTGCCAGAGCTGCTCTGTAGATTTCAGAGAGACCTGCCAGCCCCCATCATTATGTGAACCAAACCCATAAAATAAATCTTTTGTGCACACACATACACACATGATGTGTGTGCGTATTCTGTTTCTCTAGAGCAGCGGTTCTCAACCTGTGGGTCGCGACCCCTTTGTAACAATGAAAATACATCCTGCCTATCAGAGATTTACATTACGATTCATAACAGTAGCAAAATTACAATTATAAAGTAGCAATGAAAATACTTTTATGGTTGGGGGTCAGCACAACATGAGGAACTGTATTAAAGGGTCTCGGCATTAGGAGGCATCAGGAAGGTTGGGAACCACTGGTCTAGAGAACCCTACTGATACAATGCCTTAGTCTCACAGAGCGTTGGGGGAGGATGAGGGAAGGTGACAGAACCTGGAAGGTCTGGAGTGAAAAACAGAAGCGGCCTCAGGAAATACATCATCAGTGACCCAGAGACCTTGCAAGGGTTTTAACTCTGTGAGCAAGATCAGACTCAGGTTTTAGAAAGGACATCCAATTATATTCCCTTTGAGAGCAGAAGTTGAGAAAAACGTGTTTAAATTCCAGCAGGAAAGATATTAGGAAGATTTATTTTTTTAAATGGGGAAAGAGTTGCTGAATCTATTCTAGAATCTAATAAAATAACTTGGCATTTTTACCATTGACGGAATCTTACAAATGGTTTAGAAGGTTTTTTTTTTTTTCCCTACAGTCATGTCTATCTATAGCTTTCACTTGAAAGTTCTCCTTGTAAAGGGAAAATCCTCCAATCTGGTAGAGGAGCAGTTATGGAAGATAAACTCTGGCGCACAGCGGTGGAGGTCAGCAGGGGATTCCCGCTGAGAAAGCGGGAAGCAAGAGTTTACAAATGATTCCAGTTCCGCCACATCACGTGTGTTGTGTGAGGATTCGCCTATTAGAACCATAGCATCTAATCTCCATTTCTTCCCCACCTCAGCGGTTCAGTTCCCGCACCCCGGTCGCCACCAGCTCTGCTGTCCTGGTGCCCAGGTCTCAGAGCTGGGGCGGGGTCTGCAACCTGCCAAACTGGGGTCTTGGCTGGGAGCCGGGTGTGGGGAGCGCCAAGCTCAGGCTGGGGTTGGAGGTCTCCCACCTGCCACACTTAGCAACCTCTGTTCCCAGCAAGAGGGATCTTGTCCTGAGAGAACCTAACCGGGTTTTCCTCTGTTTCCTCCGCGTCCCTAGGTGGCTTCACCTTGGCTCCAAGTGCATTCCTCATCTTTTTTTTTTTTTTTTTTGGTCTGGGACATTCTGCTGAGTAGAGCTCCCAGCCCGCGACCAGCACCCTGGAGGTGAGGTGGGGGTTGCCGGTGACTCCTTAACCCTTCCCCAAGTGTAGACCGAAGACTTCAGCATCATTACAGCCCCCCATCCCGCCAGCGGTCTCAGGGTGCCCATGGGGGCACTTCTCCGTACAACTCTGGGAGGAAGGGGTGGCAGGAGGGAGAGGAGGACGCCGCAGTGCAAGGGGTCCAGAGACCCGCGGCCCAGAGTTTGGTCCCACAGCCCGCAGTCTGGCCGGGAAGGAGCCCTGTGCGGTGCGAGCCAGCTAGCGAGAATGAGGACCGGGCGGTCAGTGGAGGGGGCTGAGAGGGGCAGAGGCAGCAGGTGAGCTGACGGGCTGCGGCCCGAGCCTGGGAGGCGGGCCCGGCCGCGGGAGACTTCGGGAGCGAGCACCTTGCAGGGGCGACGCCGGCGAGGGTCGGGCTAGCAGGGGGTGTGGAGAGGCGAACCCGAGCGGTGCGGCGGCGAGGGGGGAGGACGCGAGGAGGAGAAGGGAGTTCCGACAGCCGGGCAGGGAGCCGGCCAGGGGCGAGAGAGCGAGCCGGGAAGGGAGAGCAGAGGGCGGCGGAGCTGCGGGCGCAGAGACCTGGCCACGCACCCCCCGCGGGGCACGGAGGGCTCCGCCGGGGGAGACACACAAAGACATGCGAACGAGGGTCGAGCCAGGCTCGCTCACAAAGACGCCGGGGCGCACGGCAGCTCGGGCTGCACCCCCCG